AATTACACTTGCTCTGATGGCAGCAGGTAGATACCGTTCTATACTGTAAAAAGCATATGGTAAAAAGGCTATGTCAATTAGCAATGGATTATAAATATACTTAATTATGATGCAAATACCAAAGATGGCTTGAATAACACAGATAAACTATACATTGTCGCAGTCGAGTGTTTATTGTCTTTGTTTTATCATTCAAAACGTTTATATCTTCTGTTTACTCAGTTACAGCAATAGCAATGCCTTTGTCCATATTAGGGATTTCCTGAGTCCTATTCCTTTTTTGATGCTCATGTGGAGTTTCTGCGCGAGGGCGCCCTCTGGCGTCTAGTATGAATGAAACAGACATTAAAGCCAATCCATCCTATTTTGGGTAATTTTTTTTTTTTTAAGTATCGGTTCAGGCACAGTTTAGGCACCGGAACTGTTTTAAAAGTATCAATTTGGCACCGGTATCGGAAAAAAACCAAACGATACACAACCCTAAGTGCCACACAGACCCAAAATGACGCTGAACATTTGACGCAAATGACAACCTACGTACAACCCACAGTGAACGTGCTGTGCTGCTATTAGGCTTGCCGCGATAGACGGTGTTGACGGTGATACCGGTGGTAAGCCGCAACACCGGTTATGTCACTTACTTTATTTAAACTGTGTCATTTATTTATTTTATTTGACATTCGTTTTGCTAATAAAGGTTCTACGTTTCTTATTTATTTGGCTATATATTATACATGTTTACTTATTTCCAGTTTTGTATACCTATTAAACTTTATGTAAGTTATTTGTTATTTTATATTAGGCATAGCTTGCCCTATAGCATGGTGTATTTTTATTTGTTTTGTTAATAAAAGTTCTGTTTTATATATAGGCTAAAGTGAGTTTGACGTTGTATTTTGTTGTTGCATTCAAGCAATTGACGCCGAACTGCCGCTAATTCAAAAGTGAAAGTAAAATGCGCACGGCGCTTTTAAGCTATTTAAAAGCGAAGGAAAGCGAGGAAAAGAGGGAAAATTCAAACGAACTAAAAACAAACAATTGCTTTACTCCGAATTGCCGCTATTTTAAAGTGAACGTAAAATGGGCACACCGCTTTTACAAGCTATTTAAAAGCGAAGGAAAGTGAGGAAAAGAGGGAACGCCCCGCCCCCGCGATGATACCGGTATTACCGGCGTTGTCACACGTCGATTAACCGGTGGGAAAATTTCCTCACCGTCACAACCCTAGCTGCTATCCCTCAAAGTTTTGTTTTTATTCCCCTTAAATTGAATGTGACTAGCTCTATAATTGTGGAAAATAGGTTGTGTATTATAACACTTAAGCTACATCAATACTCTTCATTCCTGAGGCTGTTATTATTCGAGTGGCCAAAGGCTCTTAGGTCTGGCATTCAATCAAATACTACAAAAACCAAGCCACAGTCTTAAGTGTTCTGCACGTGCTTGGTTAAGTTCACAAGACAGAACATCCAGACATACAAGAACTGTGGTAAGTGTTACAATGAATAGTTATTGGATTATGTTATCTGAAAACAAAAATAAAAATGAAACACTATGGAGTCCAAACAAGGGATCAATTCTTTAATCATGACTGTGATAAGATGTCTTTGCTTCTGTATGCTCCAAACAGACCTTAAGTACAAAGTACAAAAGGACAAAATTGTGACAATTAACAATTTGTTCATATTCCGATTCGTATTTCGCATTCGTAATGGTTTCATTAACTCTTTCTGTACTGTCAAGGAAAAAAATATTTTAAAATAGTAATGTGAATAACTGGCAAATTTGATTTTGATCATTAAAAAAGTAAACAATTCTTGCAAAAGACATAAAATGCAACCCAAAAATTTAAATAATAAACAATAACACTAAACAAACATGTTGTAACATTTTTATTCATTTATTTATTTTCATAAATATTACTGACAAAACTCCTAATGTGCAAGATTTAAATCTCATGAGCCACAAGTTGTATGCATGTCAACAGTTATATGTTAGGGAATCACCTACACTGGTTGCAAAATACTGTTTTGTTTTTGATTCAGAAAAAAGATAAATAATCATTTGTTCAGGAATCAGACTGGCTGCACTGGTCACGCTGTATGGTTTTGATTTGCTGAAAAAAAAGAAGTAATTGACCTTTTGACCTCAAAAATGCAAATACGAAGAATTTCAAAGGTAGTATAACTGATAATACTATTGCAGTATTTAATAATTTGCAAAGAATATCCAACATGTAATATGCTGATTATTCCATGATAATTCTCTAAAGTCTAGGGATGGGAAGATTCCCCGATTCGCTCGGTGCATCGGCATAAAAAGTTAATGATGCGATGCATCGGTTTAAAAAGTGTGCATCGGCTACAAGTTGGCATTTATATCGCGATGCATCGTTTCTAACATATTTGCATCTGTAAAAACCGATTAATTTATATATAATTACTAGTGGATGTGCTATACTTTTATTATTTAGAAAGTGACCAATATTTTTTATGTAGATTGATTTCTCCTCTCGAAACTGTTTCTCAAGCGCGCTCTCTCATCACCGCTGCTGCGTGAATATGACGAAACACAACACCACGGAGACCCGAGGAAAAACAGGGATTAAAGTCCAAAACCTGGCTTGAAATAACCTAACAAATCAATCGGGGCTAAAGCGGTTCCATTAACGACAAATTAAATTCACACAATCTCACTAATTTGTGCACGCTTATTCTTAAGCAGACCTTAATGTCGATCATGGATCAAATCGATCCACATGACAAACAGCGAATATATATATCTGTGCTGTTTAATGCATTTGAGACGTTGTGGTTTCCTCGGTGCATAACTGACATGTCACAGGTATATTTTTCATCTGTAAATGTTAGAAAGTCATGCAAACATCCATTTTGCTGTCAGGAGTGGGCGAGGCACGCGAAAGCAATGAGCACTGCTGCGCGCATGCACGCTAAACAGCAGAGCACAATCGAATAGGAGCGCAATAATTCTGAGTAAAATATACATTTTGTTAAAAAAAATTTTTTTGGACATTAAATGTGTCTTTTGTATAATTTTAAACCTACATATAAAGTGTATTTTTCTGATAGCAGTAACTGTAAATGGACTATTGTAATAGGTAAATCAAATGTAAGCTAGCAGGCTACAGTAGCCTACTAATTAGCCTACTAAGCTCAAATGAGTTAATGTGTGTTTCTTATAGCAGTTAAAATGTAGTCATTTTCTTTATTATTTATTTTCATTTTTAATTCAGTGATTTTAACTTTTAATTTTGTTATTTTAATGCTTTAAAGAGCAATTTTAGATTGTAATGTTCTAATGTTCTGCTATCTGTTCTGCAAACTATAAAAGGTACAGCTGTAATAAAACCAGAGAGAAAGGTTGCATGGCTAGAAACTGTAAAAAAAGAAGGTCAAATAATTGTATGTGAGACAGTGGTAATTAGGGATGGGTACCGAAACCCGGTATTTAATCGGTCCCGGGGCTAAATTATGAAAGACCGGAGTATCGATAAGCTCTGACATTAACGGTTCTGCTATCGGTACTGGAGAAATTAATAAAACACACATACATTTATTATTGCTATATATGCATTATCTTGCAAATTCTATATCACCAGAGTCGCCAGCTGTTTTTCAAACATTTGTCTATGATGCATTTTTGCTATTCGATTTTAATTCAGTGATTTTA